GTACAAAGCTCCCTATAATGGTGATACCCCTCCTGTCAAATAATGGCATTGTGTTACACTCCACGCATACAACTAATATTACATATTTTTTTATTTTAGAGTACAAAGCTACTGTAAGTAGCTTTAGGATTTTTACACCTATACTAAAGTTTTCAATAATAATATTATATTTTGCCTTCTAGTTCATAGAAAACTTTCAAAAGTTCCTGCCACAACCTGTCATGCATTCTCTGCATGAGTAAATGACGCAAAGTCATTTATTATACCTCTGCACATCAGATAGTGATGCAATGTCAGTATCTGATGCACAGAGGGCTGACCGATGGTCAATATTTGACAAGTTAGAGTTGAGACTGCATTGAAAAGCAACAGAGCTGCTCCTGAATTTATTAGAAAACTAGTGTTTTGGGTTTGAACTTATTTCTTACCTGAGCTCTGTTTCAGTTTTCAGTGTGATTAAGCTCAAACCTACAGGATTTAAAGGTCCAGGATTAGTTGCAACATTTGTCTCTGCATTTATATACAAATAAAAAAAAATGTACTATTTCCTTATTGACATACAGATGTTAGTCAATTGTATACAAATAGTTTTCTGACCCGATCTCTAAAGTAACAAAGTCAAACATAAAAAGTGTTGCGTTGTCTCAGGTCTCCCTTATTGATCAGTGTTTCCAACAACTCATGACAAGAAATACGACAATAGACGTGGGTATGTTGGCATTGCAGGCTGACAAAACAAGCCAAACGACCACAATCGAAAGGGATGGACCCGTTCATCTGTTTCAATTTGCATGTTTTCACAACAAAAACAAAGTTTTGATGGGCTATTCTATAATACCTCAAACTCAACGCTATTCCAGACATTTTGTAACGTCTTCAAACTTGGAAACAAAGTCCAGTGGATTGTTTTTAATTTTCTTTTTTTGGAAGAAATACTTGCAATTTTTGTTTAGACCCTAACCATTTATTAAACGGGATGATGAATGGAAAAAAAAAATGTAAAAAGTCAGATTACTGAAGTTGGGAGTAATACAGGATCTAATTTTCTTTACGTTAACTACAGGGTGGCTGTAATGCATCTGATAACTGATAAAATGCAGTGACTAGTTGGTAACTGATATCCAACAAGGATAATTGTAAAATAAAAATTTTTTGTTTGATTACTGCACTTTCAAAAACTCCTTTACACTAAATTGATGTAATTAAGCTGTAAGGATGGAGAGGAAAATAAGAGAGGAACGCTTTAGGACAGATGGGGGAAATTAGTCTAAGAACAGCTACTTAATACCAAGTGAGTCACTTGTTAATATCATTTACTGTATTTATTTTTTTATTGTTTTATTCTGTGTTTTGACTTTGTTTCATTCATACATTGTGTTTTTATATTTTGTATGGTGTCCAGAAAGGCACCTTTAAAATAAAATGTATTATTTTGATTTATATTAACTGTATTTTGAAAAAGTGGATATGTACAATGTGAAATTTATGTTCTACTCTTAATCAGTAGTAGGTCTCAAAACACCTAGATAACAGAAAATATCCTTTTTTACTGATCACCTTTTGGGTGTATCTTTTTTTTGTGGAAATTATTTCATGCAGAGAGCAAATCACCACAGAGGTGATTGTGGAACACAGAGGTGTAGATCAGAGGGAACGGACAGTAAGTTCTGACAGAAACTCAATTATAATAGTTTTATATTTTATTAGTCCAAGAACAAAACAATAAAAAATTTTCTGACACAAACAAATGAATTAAATCATTACTGGGGTTAGGGGTGTCACTGCATACCCCTTAAAAAAAGAGGTAGTTTTGCCCCTGGATCCAAATTCTTTTACAGTACATATATGATTCCTCATGATTCACATTTTTACAGCCATCTTCCATACTTTTACACAAATTCACTTAACAGACTGCTATGCCCTTTTCCTTTATTATTGGTCATGCTTTATGTTTTGTGAAATTCAGCTCTTCTCATGTATACCTCTTTAGATATATTTCCAAAAGGAAAATTGGTTTTAAGTTTCACAGACATGAACAGACTGGAGTTTAGACTAGATACAAGTCTGAGCCTTTGTATAATGTTATAATATATGTGGAACAGAGGAGTATTTTCCTAATGTAAACTGGTTGAGAATAATGTCTAAGTCCATGCACAATAATTTGAAAATAATATGTATATAAACATACACTATATTGCCAAAAGTATTTGCTCACCCATCCAAATTATTGGAATCAGGTGTTCCAATCACTTCCATGGCCACAGGTGTATAAATTCAAGCACCTAGGCATGCAGACTGTTTTTACAAACATTTGTGAAAGAATGGGTCGCTCTCAGGAGCTCAGTGAATTCCAGCGTGGAACTGTGATAGGATGCCACCTGTGCAACAAATCCAGTCGTGAAATTTCCTCGCTCCTAAATATTCCACAGTCAACTGTCAGCTGTATTATAAGAAAATGGAAGTGTTTGGGAACGACAGCAACTCAGCCACGAAGTGGTAGGCCACGTAAACTGACGGAGCGGGGTCAGCGGATGCTGAAGCGCATAGTGTGAAGAGGTCGCCAACTTTCTGCAGAGTCAATCACTACAGACCTCCAAACTTCATGTGGCCTTCAGATTAGCTCAAGAACAGTGCGCAGAGAGCTTCATGGAATGGGTTTCCATGGTCGAGCAGCTGCATCCAAGCCATACATCACCAAGTGCAATGCAAAGCGTCGGATGCGGTGGTGTAAAGCACGCCGCCACTGGACTCTAGAGCAGTGGAGACGCGTTCTCTGGAGTGACGAATCGCGCTTCTCCATCTGGCAATCTGATGGACGGGTCTGGGTTTGGCGGTTGCGAGGAGAACGGTACTTGTCTGACTGCATTGTGCCAAGTGTAAAGTTTGGTGGAGGGGGGATTATGGTGTGAGGTTGTTTTTCAGGAGCTGGGCTTGGCCCCTTAGTTCCAGTGAAAGGAACTCTGAATGCTTCAGCATACCAAGACATTTTGGACAATTCCATGCTCCCAACTTTGTGGGAACAGTTTGGAGCTGGCCCCTTCCTCTTCCAACATGACTGTGCACCAGTGCACAAAGCAAGGTCCATAAAGACATGGATGACAGAGTCTGGTGTGGATGAACTTGACTGGCCTGCACAGAGTCCTGACCTCAACCCGATAGAACACCTTTGGGATGAATTAGAGCGGAGACTGAGAGCCAGGCCTTCTCGTCCAACATCAGTGTGCGACCTCACAAATGCGCTTCTGGAAGAATGGTCAAAAATTCCCATAAACACACTCCTAAACCTTGTGGACAGCCTTCCCAGAAGAGTTGAAGCTGTTCTAGCTGCAAAGGGTGGACCGACGTCATATTGAACCCTATGGATTAGGAACGGGATGTCACTTAAGCTCATATGTGAGTCAAGGCAGGTGAGCAAATACTTTTGGCAATATAGTGTATCTTATTTCAAGTAGCTATACAGAATTTATGCTCGCTGCAGTCTAACTTACAGATTGGTTTTGGGTTTTCATTTTTAGAGTTTATGCCCTCTGGTACTTACAGGAATTAGATGAAAAGAAACACCAACAAAAGTCTACTGTTATTTGGTTTCACAAAGTCATTAAGTACAACGGAGTATTAGGGCCACACATGAAGAGAAAAAATATTTTTGCCATGACGAGATTAAACTCGACATGTCGACTTTAAAGTCGCCCTGTCGACTTTAAACTCGCCATTTCGAGAATAAAGTTGAAATGACTGACATGTTCTCAAATTCAGAACTGCGAGCCTGGGTAAGCATAGGGAAAGACGTTACGTTATTATTGGTAGGCCACCGCTTCCTGTGATGATTATACAGTTGCAGCACGTCAAAGACTACCTTCACTCTTAAAACGCAGACTGCAGCTGTGGAGCGCGGTTGCTCTTTTCTCCAAACTTTGGAATGTTGAGATTAAAGTTGCCACGATATATCAACTTTATTCTCGAAATGGCGAGTTTAAAGTCGACAGGGCGAGTTTAAAGTCGACACGTCGAGATTAAACTCAACATGACATTTCAACTTTATTCTCGAAATGTTGAGTTTTTTGCCATGACGAGATTAAAGTCGACATGTCGAGTTTAATCTCGTCATAGCAAAAATATTTTTTCTCTTCATGTGTGGCCCTAATACTCCGTCGTAATTAAGCCATAGTTGATTACATTTAATCTTAAACATTTTAAAATCTAAGTTTAGCAAAGAAATTACAGCTCAACTTCAGAGTTACTCTAACTTAGTGTCAAAACAATGATAAAGTGCGAGGAAAACTATTTTCTGATCCTTCTTATATCTCAATATACTACGTGTCCACGCATTGGGTGATTATCTGCTGTGTGTCACCACTTCACATACCCATCACATCACAAGCCCTGCTTATACTATGCTTAGGAAAATGTATAAGATTTATGAAGAAGTATAAACATCTATTATATATATATATATTTCTAAGGGTTTAACCAGCCTTTTCAAAAATTATTAAGATTAATCTAAGCAATACCATCTTTCCTGTGGATGTAGTATTAGGATGCCTGCTTAGTATTATCATATTTTAACAGCTCAGCCATGTTTTGTCTTTTGCACTATATATCTTTATGCTGTTTTTAGGGATGCACAACCTATTCTTGTCTTACATCATCATTAGTGCTAAATAACAGTTTAAGTTAAACCATGAATACAAAATAAACGATATTTATACAGTGGACTGCAGCATATAAGTGAAGAGTTAAAGCATAACTTCTAATTTAAAACATGGAGTAAAGCAGCATTTTATGTTATTTTTTTTCTCTGTGTAATTATGTTCACTGTGCAGTAAATACCATGATACTCTTAATAACCCTTCGGATTTCTACCCCCCCAAATAAAATTGCAGCCCACATACCATTTTTTTTAATTACAGACTTGAAAATAACACAGGCAGTTAAAAAGAAACTGTAATTGCTTAGATGTGTCAAATATTTTGCCAGAAAATGTCATTCAGACACAGAGGCTTTCATTAAAACCTCTGAGGAAATATTGATTGAAGGATATTTGAAGACAGTTATTAAATAATATAATAGAATGTATTGGCATTATCTGCCATTTTTAAACTGTCCTTTTGCTTTTGCACAGGCTTCCCATTCCCATATCCCCCTCTACCCAACACACACACAGACGCACACACTCCAGTGGTCATTAAAGGCTCATGTCACCAGGAACATATCCCTGGCAGCACCTGCCAAAGCCATTATCTACCACCCAGTCCTAGACGAACGCTTTGGCATACATCTGAGCAATTAGGCCAGATTATTGGCAACCTTCCTTGGCCTTGCCCCATTATCAAGACCACTAATTACTAGCTGTGTTTAGCGCTTTTGCTCCCTCTGTCTGGTGCACCCACTGTGGAGGAGAAAAAAAAGAAAAAAAAGGCACAAATCAATAAAAGAAGCGCTGAGATGAATAGAGGTAGAAACAGTTAAAGGTGTAGGACTTTCAATACAGCAATAGATGTGGCAGCTTAACAACACATACGATGTGAGACACCCACACGTTAAGTGTGTGAGGTCCCCCCCAAGGGAAATATTTTGTCAGAAGCAGCACTTTGAACGTGTCATCAGCAGAGTGATTGAAGTCTCTTCGAGGCGTAATGGTGGCTGATGGCTCCTGTTTGTGAGCTGCTGGCATCTGTGTTGCTTTGGACAGAACTGGAAACCATGCCTGCTAGGCAGTTGCAGCTTTAATCGAGAATGGCACACAAACGAGGCACATATGGGCATTTGCGAGTCCACTCTGACGAGCTCTTTCACTCCCCTGAGAACACGAGGAGACAAACATGCTTATCATATAAAATGATCCCTAAAATAATTTTAACATATAATTTTGTGTTTTAAAAAAAAACATTTGAAGGGTTTTAATTGAATCATCCCTTTACTCAAATGCACACACTCCCATGGATTGCCTCTCTGGGTCCCTGAGCAGAACCCCCAACACCAGACTGCTCCCCAAGGGGATGGGTTAAATGCAGCTTATTTAATGTTGTTGCTCTGTACTGTGACATTGTAATGACAATAAAGTTGAAATATTTTAATTATATTTGATTCTTTAACATCACATCACACTTTGTGTAATTTTATTTATCCATATTTGGCCATATTGTTAACTGGAGTGAGTAAGAAAGAGGACTGGTTCTAAAGTGGAATTGATATGTTTATCATGAACATAGAGTAATTGACAACCCAAAGCTGTGCAACTCAATAGATGATGGAGTAAGGAAAGTATTAAACAATTTAAAATTAGTTCTGCTTTTACAAGAGATCCACCAAATCATGCTAACATGGTTGATTTAACCTCTTTCTTATTTTGGACAATACCGACCCATTCTACTTGGTCTACCCAGCAACCTTAGGTTTCTCTTCTCAATAGGGTCAGACCTCAGAGTAATCACAAGGGTTGTAACTAGTGTTGTACCGATACCAGTATCGGACAGGGCCCCGATACTGCCCTAAAATGGTGGTATCGGTATCGGCGAGTACCAACAAATAGGGCACCGATACCATTTTGAGAGCCATAAGTTTATTCAACTATTATCACCCACTCCTGTTAGGCAATAAAAAGTTCTACTGGATTCAATTTGTATTAGATTTGTTCCTGCTTCACAAAGGTAGGCAGCACCTTGACAAAGCCATGATGGAAATTATTTTATGTTATTATGGTATCGGCTGATACTGCACAGCCAGGTATCAGGTATCAGGTATCTGTATCGGGGCCAAAAAATGGCATCGGCGCAACACTAGTTGTAACTAAACCCCTATAAGAATAAATTATTTCAGCTACTGGTTTATTGGATCTCTGAAATTTGCTGAGTATAAGGTATATATGTCAATAAAAGAATGTTATCTAAATTAGCAATTCAAATGTTTAATTTCTTTTGACACCACATGGATATAAGAAACTAAGATATGAGAATAATTGTATCATTCTCAAGTTTATCTTGGTGGCTACTGGCACAAAGTGCAAAGTAACTTCAAACAATTCAGTTAAACCTTAAACTAAACAGTAAAAAAAAACTGTATTAACTTAAGAAGTGTGAAATCACAAGATATAAAACTACTAAGAATGTCTTAGTGTGTTTTTTGTGTATGTGGGGTTGGCATAAAGCAACAAATACATGCAGTGACTACTTAAATCAATGCTCTGAATAGAATTAAGAATTAGGAAGTCAATTTGTGTAAAGAGATTTTAGTATTCAGCACTGGATCCATAGAAGAGCTCAACATCAGCAATAAAACCATGGCTCTGGTCAGTTTGTTTTTTGCTGTTTGTTTTCCGAAGTTTATTCTTAGCTGGTTACCAAAAAAAATGTCTCCAGTGTTTGTACTGCTAGTAAAATGGTGAAAAAGAGAGACTTTTCCTCTAAAAGTAAAACCTCTACTATTGAGGGATTTTACTCTTGTTTCTTTGAAATCAGGAGAGTGGCCGACCCACAGAGGTAGTCAAAGCAAGGAGCAGGGGAGGGAAGGTGTTGTGTCATTCCCCCAGTGGCGAAATATAAAAAGGGTATGAAAGAGCAGAGTTGATGTTTTTATCTCCAAGAAGTTGGGTCTTGGTTGAGGGAAGTCATTGACAATTGTGATCTGAATTTCAGATTAAAAGTGTCTTTAACTTTCATTATTATAACTATCCTTTGATTGTACAAACCTACTAATGGAGGTAACTGTACCATACATAAAAAGATGGATAATGGTCAGTACAGACATTTGTAAACGCCCATTGATCAGAGACTTTACTGTATACCGCTATAATTTTTCCTAGCTACTATTGTTGATTTAAGGAATTTAAAAATGAGCGCTCATATAACATTGTAAAAAAGTTTCATTCATTTCTAAAGCACTTTTCTTCTCTTTTTCCTTAAAAACACCCCTCAAACAGCCCCACAAAAGCACACACATTCACGTTAATTTTTGCCTATACCTCCTTCATGCACTTGGACCTAGCTGAAGAAAAGCTAAAGGTTAGTAAAGGTTTGGAAGATATTCTAAAAGAAAGAAACCAGTACTCTGCAAGCATGGACGGTGAGGTTTCAGCCTTAGACCTCGTGTCTGGCTGACATTACCATCACCAAAGGTCAGTGGGTGTCAGGAATAACTTTTCTCTAAGGCACTGAGGGGCTAAACTGCAGCACAGCACATTCTCTTTGAAACATATAGGCTGCATACTGAAAAGATGAAGATTTGTGTCAGCCTTTTGCTGTTTTTTTGTTTTTTCCAACAAACATCAGATACTAGGGTAGGTGATATTCTTGCTGCCATCCTTTGTCTCTTTTCCACTCCTCTCATCTGCCTTCTAGCATTCATTTTCCATGAAGTCTGGCTCTCCTTAGCCGCAGACCAACACAGCGTAAAGTCTGGAAAGGATGGCCATCCAGGCCTAATTTAATTCCTCCCTTGGCTGAATCTGTTCTGGTCATGTCAGGGGAGTTTGGAAAGCTCAATGGATAAAGGAAATGCTTGTTTTGGGGGGGTATAAACACCAGCTAGTTGAAGAGGTTTGCTGTCTTAACTCTGGATGGTAAAAAAATACTGTAAAGCCATGTGAAATAATTAAATACAAAGAAACACCTTAGTAAGACTTCCATAAATGCAGAACTGTGTTTTATTCTATGTGAGCTGCAGGTTGATACAAGGTCCGTTGCAAATTTGAAAAGAAAAAATGTGACCATAGAGTTAATAATTTCATGTATTTCCAAGTAAAACTTTAAAGTCTGATACTAATACTATATTGAAATATTCTGAAAAATAAATTTTACATTCATTCTTAGTATAAATTAGACATTTGGGACAAAAAAAACTATGTCCTCTAAGTTTTAAGTGATTAAATCCTCTTGATATTTTCCAAAGTAGAAGTTGTAGATCCATGCTCTACCTACAAACCCACCATTTACACCTTAAACAGGAAAATATGTTGTCAGTAAGCGGAATACACAGTAAAGAAACAGCTGCATCAATTCTATCAATTCTATAGCAATCAATGCTATTCTTCATGGAAAAAAGTTTATTGCAAATAGATGACAAGCCATCATTGCCTTTCTTTTTTTTGTAATAAATTGAAATTATGTGGAAATTTCAGTCTTCCACATAATTTCTCTTAATTTGTAAATATTCACTGGCTGTAATACTGTAGCCTGGGTGCCATTCAGAACTTAGTCCCGCCCACAACGTTTGAGGTCGGGGAGTTCGGTCTGGCATTGCTCAATAGTAGTGCGAGTATGCTCGCCCAATATCTGGTCGGGCCAATCAAGTTGTCAGGGCGGGCTTTATACGATGATGGACAGATGATCAACAGTAACATAATCAACCACATGACCAAAGCGCGCTTGGGTGACAACAACAATGGCTGCCGCTGGAGAGTTGAGGTGTGTAGATTCTGCTATTAGGTCTGTTCTAGAAGATATCGACATCAAATTAATTTTAAAAGAGGAACAGAGAAACGCGATCAAGGCATTTGTTGAAAAGAAAGATGTTTTTGGCGTCCTTCCTACGGGATTCGGCAAAAGTTAAATTTATCAGCTGGCTCCCTTGGTCGCTTAACATACGTCACGCACTCCGTTGCTCTTATTGGTTGTAGGTCTATCCAATTGAGTGCAGAGGCATTTTTTTTCCTGGTTCGTACGAAACACGCCCCATAATCACAGCTCTATGGAGCAGTATCAGACTCATATTCTGACTAGAATTGAGTAGGACTACGTCAGGCTAGTAATACTGTGCCTCAGTTTGGAACAATTCAGAGGTAAACTGTTCAGCAGCCCAAGATCAATCCATTCTGAGTCTGTAGTTGGCTTTGAGATCCATCAGATTTAAACCCATAGCATTGTATTGTGTTGCAGAGTGAGCATGCCATCTCCTTCTTCCATTGATTACCTCATTTTGTGTCACAAAACTTTCACATGTAGTGCAGTCCTGTGTTACACCTTTCGATCAAAAATCTGCACATTTAACATTTTTTAGAGTGTTGTCTGGATTTTTAGGGGGGATGTCTGATTTCTTGCTCTGATTTTGTTCTTTGTGCAGCTTTAATTTGCCTGGCTCTGTGGAGTCAGTATATTAGTACAGTCACCATTTTCATTATTACTGTTAGGTTCACAATGTTTATCCTTATTTATTCTGACACAATTTATTTATATCTGCATTGCATAGTATTGTGAGCCTGGACAGGAACCTGACTTGTTTGCTTTCATTGTAAAGGGCAATGAAAGGACTTGTAAGATTTAAAAAAAAAGTTAAACTAATTAGGCAGCATGCAGTGATCAGCAATATCCTACATGTAAAGTCAGTGTCTTGTCTGCTGACCTATATGTGAAATCTTAGGTGATTTTATGGAAATTTAATGATAAAATATGGCGAGATTTAACTGAATTTTAGCTTTTCCATATGGGTTTTTCAATCAAAGTATTTTGGGGCTAGACCACAATACAAGTGGTTTAGTTTTAGTTTATCACAATAAGAGGTTGGGATGTTCCCACCTCTCATTGTATCTGCAATATAAAAAAAAAGAAAACAAGTATCAGTCAGATACATAAAACCATGCTTAATGGAGTTAGAAAATCCCTTTATTGTCCCACAATGGGGAAATTCTGGTGTTTACAAGTGCAAAACTATTATAGAGAAAAAAACGGTCACACAAATGTGGGCCTTGGAGAGTGTATAAGAATAAGATAATAGTGAAGAGTTAAAAATAAACAAATACAATACTGCACTGCAAAATGTTTTAACAATATAAAACTGTGCACCTGGAGAATAAATAACCAATATACAGCTATGGACATTTTTACAGTTACAGATATTTGGAAATAGCAGCAACATCAGAGATGTGCAAAAAGACAGCAGCATGTTATTTAACTGACTAAGGTAGAAACTGTGCAAAAATCTGCATGAATGTAACAACTTATTTAGGTTGTTGGAAACAGTGGTTGTTATAAAGTCTTCCAGCTGCTGGGAGGAAGGATGTGTGATAACGCTCCCTGGTGCATTTAGGGTGCAGCAGTCTGTCACTGAAGAAGCTGTCCAGTTCTGCAAAAGCTTCATGCATGGTCTGGGAGACATTATCCAACAGAGATGTTAATTTAGTTAGGATCCTTTTGTTTCCCAGTGGGCATCCAATCACAAAGATATATGAATATTTCAATCTTTTTGCTTCTCCTGTATTGCAGGAGCAGTTTAACAGCAGCTCAGTTGTTGTTTGTGTTTCTGGACAAGAGGGTGGGGGGTGTTTTGGTCAAGTGATGTTACAGGGATGCGGCAGAGCATTGATGCGTTTTCCACTTGAACTTTTTAAAAAATGGAGCTACTTGGGGTTAAACTACAGTCGTGTTTATGGTTTACTAAGACAAATTTGATTCATTTCAGTTTATTTGTATTGTCCGAATTCACAACACATGTAATCCTAACGCACTTAACAGAGACAATTCAACCAGATCATGCAGTCATATTCGTTAAAATGTTTTTATCTACGGAAAAACATTTGATCGACTCATTGACTCGAGAGCAATTCTGCACACCAATAATGCTTGTAGCGACAGTGGAGAGGAAAACCCTCTTTTAACAGGAAGAAACCCCCAGCAGAACCAGGCTTGGTGTGAGCGGCCATCTGCAGAGTCCGACTGGGGTTCAAGGAGACAGAAAAAGAAATACAGAAAGAACATTTCAGAGACAAACACCTAAAATTGTGGGTCAAAAAAAAGGATGAGTGTATTAAGAAGCCCTCTCACAGTTACGATTGGTGGAAGATCTGTGATGCTGTGGCCCTTTAAAATGACAAAAGTCTCTTTGAAAACAGATGTACGCACAAAACTCACACTTTCAACATAATAATAATCTGAAATATGTAACCTTTATCCATGACAATCACAGTCCTTTGAGCTAAAAGCCTATTGAAGCTATGGCTGAGAGGTAGAGAATCGTAAGGCTGTTAAAGAAGATGGTAAGAGGATCTTCTCTCTGTATGCTCTGTGTGTAATGTTATAGAAAAAAATACTAAGAGCTGTTTTATCCTCATCTTCAATTAAAACCCTCCTAAAACCTTTGTTTAAGGAACTAATTTGAATAGTATCCAAATGTATCTCTTGCTTTTTCTTCCATTGCTCCTTTTAAAAAATGTCCCTGTGGCGCAACAACATACATGCATTTTAATGGGCCTTAGATGAATTATCTATAAGTATGACTGAATAAATCTTTAATCGCTGTAATGAACTTTAGACTATGGATTCAAAAAGCCATTTAGCTGATAAATGACCCATGTAGGGCTCTGGTACTGGGATAAATCAAAAGGGGCTGGGGTCCTCCCTTTTATTCCACCAAAGATAAGCTCATTCACATAACTGACTTCAGTGCAAAGTTGTTCAGAACATCAATGCTGATATGCAAGAACAGGAAGACAATCTGTTTAAATTACAACTATACATGAATGCACTTTTATAGTTTACATTACCGGACCTCAGCATTGGATTGCATTGCAC